GTGGCCAAGGACCTTTGTTGCATGTCATCCCCCATTTCTCTCTTCCCTCGTCCCCGGTCAATGCTCTACTGCTGACTATCTAATAAAGGCCAAATATCCCCCCCAAAGTGAACTTTTCTTCCTCTATGTTAAAAGGCTTTGATACTACAAGTGCCTTATACTAATGTCTCATAAACCTTCTTAACAATTTACTGCGGCGCACAAAAAAAACACCTAACAAGCTCTCTCTCGCCTCATTGGGCTAAAGACCGCTCCTGTCCTCATCGTGTGTCTTCATCTAGTCGACCTCTGTCATGTTATTACACCATCTGATGCCATCGCCAGCTGACGCTCATAAAATCCACCAAAGCATGCCAGCCATGCCATCACATGTCCTTTGTAGATGTCTCAACACTCCCTCTAATATACTCACTCTGGACGACGTCCCACGAATGCCTCGTTTCGATCGAGTCAAAGGAGAATGAGAGCGACAGGTAAATAAAGTCCAGTCTAATTGGAGGTTATTTCTGCGTCCAGTTTTGTTACAGCCCGTGAACTTGTGTCGCTCTACAAGCCTGAGAGAATAACCACTGACCTTGAGGTGTCACTGGAAAGCAAAATAAAGATCTGAAAAGGGCGGCAACTTTATGTAAGCAGAAAGATTTAAGTTACCACACCAAAAATAACTTCATATTCCAGCATTTAGAACAGGTGTGACCTGGAATTTAAACCTCATTTGAGTGCGAGCCATCCCACAAAAATCCTTTGGGTCAACGAAATCAACGCCCCATTCACGTCATGTCTGTGGAGCAATGAAAGCAATGCTCAGTTTCTAAATTAAAGCTGCTATAATCAATGTTGTCATGTCAACAATGGATCAAATTGTACGGCTCAGCGGTATATTTTAGCAGCTTTTTGCGAATTTGTCATTCACCGTCACATAATTGTATTTCGCGTTTTTACTGGTTAGTTTGTTTATTTTATTGACACAAAAGGATAAAACATTTTGATCCAAACAACATACAAAAATAACCATATATATATAATAAACCAATTAATAAAGATCTGCAATATAGGAGCTTACTGACATTCTACTTTTTCAATTGTTCTTGATCTGTTACTTTTTTGCTGATAAAGTAAAACAGGATCTGGATTTTATTGCAACTTCCTTGTGTCGTCACACTATTTTTGTCTCAGTATACTTTGGCGTATATAGTATTTTGTGATTTTTCATGCATCATTTTGTGTTTTGTAGACGCTCATAGTAAGTTTTTTTTCAGAGTGACTCCTGTAAAGTTACTCATGCTATGCATCTGTGTTTGTTGTTCTAAATTCCCCTGTATGGGATCAATAAAGTTGATCTTATTCATCTTTATTGATGAAAAAAAAAAGCCTTTATTGTAAAAGGCTTTACGTTTTACAAAAAAATCGAACTCAAGAGCAGTATTTTTCTGTTTTCTTGTGTACTTTTGAAGTTAAATGTAAGTATTTCACCTATTCAACAATAGAAATAGCTACATGAAGTCAAAGGATTACCATTTAACATCATATTTCCAAACCATTTGACAGCCTGTGTGAAAATCTAAATAGGGCTTTGTGATGTTATCAACCTTGTCTAACCTGTGCTTACCAGTCTAACCTGTCTTTAATGACATGCTGGTTTTTCTTTTTAATGCTTTTACTACCATTTAACTACCACTGTGCCCTTTATTCTTTCCTCCAGGAGGCTTAATTGTATATCATTTCAAACAACAGTTCTCTATTACCTACCTCTTTAAGGATACGCATGGGACGTTCTTGTGCTTTTGTGGTTTTGTTTGCTGAACTGTAATGTGGGGCCCCTGCTGCTTCTCACCTCTATTGTAATGCGGGCCAGGTTTATAATCCACTCCTTGGCCCGGGCCACTTCACACCTCGATGAACACTGTGGACTCCCGCTGAGTTTGGAAGGGACTCAATGACCACCTCTTTACAGGACATTCTCACATAAACACCAAAGACCTACACACCTGCTACCAAACCAAATAACTCCCCCGTTTCTCCTCACGGGTTCTGCTGTCCCACCTCTTTGTCTCGCAGGTGTCCGCTCCGTGAGTCAAAAGGTGAGCAAATAGAGAATCGGGGACAAGTCATCTCTAACCATTAGTCAGAGAAGTGATGTCAACAAAACTTTGACCTCAGAGGTCACTGCTGGAAGAATGTGGACTTAATGACCATCAGGGGAAAGATAAATATTCTAGACATCATGAAACAGACGGAAGGTGGGGCAAGGGTTTCTATAATGAGTTAGTAGGAGGTGGGGGGGGGGGGGGGGAGCGGACCTGTAAGATCAAAGCATACCACGTCAACTGTTGGCACAGCAAGCTTTTCAGGGTGGGGACTTCAGTAAGTAGGGCGGGATGCTTGGACAGGAGTGGGAGTCATCAGAGCTTTTATAACACGTTATCCCTCATGAAAGGGCAGCCGCTAAAAATAAGTTCTGTTCAACCTCAAAATGTCTTCAGGGTAGATTAAAGTCATTCATGAAGGTTTTTAAACATGACAAACCACATTTTATGCAACATCAGATCACTTGTGTTATAAATCCTCTTGTGGACAGAGACAGAACTGCAACCACTGGAACCAATAGAAATGCTGCTTAACTACTTAAATTAATGAACTTTTACTCAACATTTAGTTTTTAGGAGTTTTACAAATACTCTTACATCATCAGTATAGGATACTGTACTTCCTCCACCGCTGCACTTATTGCTCGACGATTACAACAACATGCATGTTCTGTTCATGTTCAAGTTTTTGTTCACCTGTGGCTATAACACAATTAAAGTTTCTCTCAGGACCTCGGTATAAAATCAACAACACATCAGACAAAGCCTAACTGTGCAGTCTGATATTGCTTGAATGTTTTTCATTCTATCATCACGTTATACACCCACGACGATGACAGGATGACTAGAATAACAATGAATCATATTATTAGCTCCTTTGCTGCCACAACATATCTGATAGTTCTCCCTCAACACCTCAGACTCCCTGGAGTAGAGACATTCTGCGTGCCTCAAAACCACCCGTGTGCCCCGAGTTTTTGTTTCTAAATGCTGGCACAGCTCGATGCAGGGTGGTGGCACCCAGCGAGGGCATGAGTAGAAGAGGAGGGGGGGTGTGAAGGTGAGGATTTAGGAGTTTCGGGGCAAGAGGAGTCTCAAAACGTCTTGTGTTAATGATCACATAGAGCCCAGCGAACAGGGAAACCATTGTATCTGCTAAAGCTTACCAGTGCTGAGCCTGCGCCTGCTACTGTCTGAATGCATACAAATCCGGGCTTGACGGGCACCTGTTGTGGATTCTTGCCCTTGACACTGCTCCGGTGTGCTGGATGGTGGGTGTTGTTTGGTCTCGTTCTGACCCAGACTTGAACTCCCTCACAGCTGTCACTGCTCCAGCTATTCCAAACTCCGGTGGGCACAGAAAAATAGTACTGGATGCTTCACGGAGGGAAAGGAATGACTGAGTGACTTAAAGATGACGCTCTAAAAATCAGTGCATTTTACATTTTACATGAAGATGACCCTTTTTTTAAGATGTTTCTTCCTATTCTGTTGAGAACATGAAGGCTGCATGTTTATTAACTAATATATCGCATTTCATTTACAAGTAACTTTTTGGGGACAGTTTATATCTGACAGCTGTAGTTACTGCTTACTCTGCAGAGTTACTTTCACTCACAAACCAAATCATACGATCAGTTAAAGGTGCATTACACGAGATTGGAAGCATTTGTATTGCCTCTCAACGGCTCTCATTATGGCAACGGCTGAGACGGCAGCTTGCAGGCTTACACTGCTAACAGCTATAATCATCTATATATTTACTTTGCAAATTGTTGTTTGATTCTTTATTAATAGTCTGAATTTGAAGTTACACTACCCAAAAGTATATCAAATGGTTAAATTAGCTCGACCTCTACGAGCTACAACATTTAATTGCTTTTTACACATTGCATACAATAAGTGAAGGATTTGAACACTGGTAGGATACTTGTGTCTTCATACACTCAGTTGTAGGCTACATCACAGCTGGTGGTTCTGTTGCAATGAGGCTAGAAACGTAAACAAAAGGGAGCCTTGCCTGCCAAATTTCAAAGTACAGCCTCAAATGACTTGTATTCATACAAGAATATTCCCACAACAAAAACAAAACTTCGCAGTATTTAACGCCAGGTTTAGTATCAATCTGGAACTTAGTCAGAATTGCTTGGCAATAAAAAAGAAAACTGTATAGCAAAGACTGCACATCATATAAGTTCATCATAGAGAATTTGATTTCTCTTTCCTCATTTTCTTTATTTAATATTTATTTTATTGAATGTCTGCTTTGGATACCTTATGTCTTGTATTCTAGCTGTAAATTCTGTTCCCTGAATAAAGTTTTATGAAAATATTTGTGACACACACACACACACACACACACACACACACACACACACACACACATTTATTGTTATTTCCAATCCATCCATTAAATTATTTATGAATCTACCTGTGAAGTATAAAGGCAAGTAAGGCTTTTACAATCGGATTAGAAGTCCTTTCTTTTTTGTTTAGCTTGTAGCGCCATCTGCTGTTCAGGTCGTGTAATTACATCACTATAACGCCGAAAACAGTTAAGTGAAGACGCCAGAAAATAGGGACAACATTGTCTAAGGTAAGCTATAAATGAACGACCAAACTTCAAATGAAATGCACACAAAGTATCGTATTCTTTCAAGGCAGGTTTAAATTAGTATGTAAAGTAATTATTGTGTTTATTAAAGTTCTTTCTGACGAAAAACTTAGTTACACGACGTATTTTTGCTACAAGCAAGGTTTGTAAATTCCCCAGTCCAAAACTACTGCGACACTCACAAAAACTGCCAGAAAATATAATTTTTTGTAACTTTTTTTTTTTGCAGGGGAAGGTACGAGGTACGAGTCAGCCGCCATATTCCCAGTTTATGAGGTCCATGAAATAAGGAAGTGGGCCCACCTCACGGGAGACCTGCATATGTGAGGGAGTGGCCACCTGCTCAGTGTGAGAGTCAAACTGTCAGGCCCGGACTGTCCGCGAGGAATAACACCTTCTGTCAAGCTTTTATTCTTAGAGGAATCAAACCAGAAGCAGGTAAGACGCACCACTAATAGACGCGTAGTTTTATTCCAGCGGAGGGATTTACAACATCTGCCGTGGAGCGGTATTGCAACTAACAGTGCTATGTGCCCACATTCATAGAGGTTAACGAAATATACATATAGACCTGCATTCATACCTTTCCATGACCCTAAACCTTCAGGTTGCTTGTGGCTGTAAACATCTTTTTTCTTTAAAAAAAAAAAAAAAAGATTTTTATCTTTGGTGGGACCATGAAATATGTCAAACCTGCCTTTGAAGCTTGTATAATTGCATTTTGTCCAAGGTAATGCTATTGATTACAATGGCTTAATGTGAAGAACTAGCTGCCATTTTCTCCCATAGAGAGAGAGAGAGAGAGAGAGAGAGAGAGAGAGAGAGAGAGAGAGAGAGCGAGAGCTTCATGTTCCTTATCAAAGCAAGTCTGTGCAGGTGAAGAAGCGGCCAGCCACATTCCAGTGCCTGGGGTCATGAAGGTGCAGTGAGCAGACCCTCAGCACAGCACTGTTTAGAGTGCAGGCCTGTCTGCTGAGTACCTGCCTGTGTTGACAAGCGCCTGTACCAGGAAACCAGGCTTCACTCTACCTGCTGCTCTCACTCTGTCTTTATCGGTTCACACTGTTTAATTCAGGGATTTTGTCGATGTGTGTAACGGTTATGCAAGCGTCAGGTTTTTCTCTCGAAAACACCCTGTCTTTCTTTCCCCTTTTCTCAAATTACCTTTTGGAAAATACGGTCCGATACAAAAACAAACAAACCGTAGGTAGCATGGGTGGAATGTGATTTCTGAGAATTTGCCGCTGACAGTTTTCTTATAATGCCCACAAACAACATGGAATGGATATTAATTCAGTCAGGTGAGCAAGTCATGACAGATTCTGGTAAAGGCAGTGTGTCTTCCATTGCTGACTCATAGAGACACTCAAAGGATGAACCTGTGTAGGAACTACAGCCCAACCCATACTGAAATATTGGATATAAAAAGAATCCAATAACAATATCTGCCTACAGTACTCCTAAACAAGCAATCTTTGAGTTCAGATCCCTTTGATTTTGTTTAAAATTGTGAACAAGATGCAAACTGAGTGGGACATTTCACAATGGAAAAGTCAGCTTGTCATTGTTCTCTGTTGGACTAATTTAAAGTAATACTCTTGAAGATTTTCATTTGAATAAATGTCTGTGGCGACATTCCTGGGAAGTGACGCATTTTCCATCAGCCAGCAGTGGTTGGTTCTCGAGAGAGGGGGGGAGGGGGGCACACACACACACACACACACCTGTAAGTACAGGTGCTACTAAAGAGAGTTGACTCAAACCTTGTCTCATTATTTTTCTACTTTTAATTGTGTAGTCTTTAAAACAATTTGGAAAATAGTGAAAAATGTACATCACGCTATCTTAAAAAGTGACATCTATGAAATGTCTTGTTTTGTATGAGTAAAGATATTCAGGTTACATTTTGACATAACAAAATAACGTCAAATCCTCACGACAGAGCTATGAGGTGTTTATCATTTTTTGCTTAAATAATCTTTAATAATTATTTGACTATTAAAAATAGCTGCGTAATATTTTCCCTTTGATCCGCTATTAATCGAGTCATCGCTGCTGCTCCAGACGTTTACACGACACAGATTTATCTGCAGCGAGCTAATATGGGCCTGGACAATGTATTGCTCTCCCGTGCAGCCTGGTCTGTTGTGTGGAGTGTTGAAAGAGTTACTTCACTCCACCTTGGCTTCAGTTTGTGGTAGAAATCTCCCTCGGGACCAGTTGTTACCATAACAACTCAAGTGCCAGCATGATAGTGTGAGTGAGACAGAGAGAGAGAGAGAGAGAGAGAGACAAAAACACCGTGTGGCTGGAAAGCTAGAAAAACTAGAGAGCTGTTAAAAGACACTTACAGGAGAAAGGACTTCCTGGCCATCGGTGATGTTAGTTCGGGGCTTTTGTTGTTGACGAGACTGTCCTTGTAGACTATTGTCCAAAAATATTATCATGACTTCCGATACCTGAGTGAGCTCAGTGATGATTTCACACAAGATGAAATCCAGTGATCGCATTAAGAACAGAAGAGCCCGGTGCTTGGCATCATTTCATCATTTGTAACACTCGTGTTAAAACATTACCTGAGTTTTGGCGCGATAACAAGAGCGTGCCTTTTTCGATATCTTACTTTACCAAATACAAAAACGTTCTTTTATTTTTAGCAAAATAAGCCAAATGTCTTAAAATACAAGCAAATGTACAAGAGCTTGGGATAAAACAGTAAAATATGAACAAAATGATGATTTAAATCCATTAATATCTGATTAAAGAGCATTTGATAGCAACTTTCAATGCCAGACATTGACCCGTATATATCAAACCTCTAAGAATTACACTTAGAAAAGAGCCATTTTAGGAGTATAACAGTTCTTTATATGTATTTATTAGCTGAGTGTGAGCAATAACACATTAATGAAGCATTTTCCTCAGAGACGTATATTTATTTGTGTCTCTGAGGTCTTTGTCCATGCCCCATTGTTCTTGGTTTTAGAGTTTAAATGTTAAGAATTAAAACTAGACAAAAATCATGTCGCACACACTTGTTACCTGAAGTTAACCGCAGGTCACAAGGTCACAGTGACGCAGACACCTGGTCCAAAGCTTCGCCGCTCATCACTCAGACGAGACTTTTTCTTTCTTTGTTTAAGTTTTTTTTTTTTTTTTTTACATAGCAGACAAATGTTTTTGCGCAGCATATTTTGCAATTCTGTCTGAACATGGCAATCTGCGATGTATATCTGTCACTAGGCTGACTCACTGTTTCTTTCACGTGAGCCAAGGAATATATTTGTATATCCACAGCGCCACGTACTTCAAATCCATGGATGGATGTCTCCCCCCCCCCCGAGAATTCATCTTAAACTTCACCCTCCTCCATCCCCTCTTGTCAGGCCTCCCACACCCAGGTGATGGTGCAACATGCCGGCCACGCTGCACGCTTCATCTTCTCCCTCTTTCCCTTTCTCACCAAACGCACACACACACACACACACACACAAACACACCCACACAGCCCTGCTGGTGGAATTCATGGCCTCAGGCTAACAAAACACAACCTCGTCCAACAGCGGGGAACTAACACAGCTCAGCTCCCCCTCGCAGCAGACTGACAGCACGGAGCTCTCCATTTATGAGAAAACACGTTATGGTGCTTTTCTGACGGACGCTATTGTGAGGTGGGTGACTGACAGAATGATCTGCTCTCACTCTGTTTGCTGAGTCAACATGCCATCAGATGTTTGATTGACAGGGCAGAATATTAGTGTGATGACTGGAGAGACTCATGTTTTGGGGGCTTAAGGTGGGAGCAGCTCTGGATTTATTTCCCTGATTTCTTTATTTGATGCATCAGTTGGTTGCTGCCCTTCTCTTTGCTACATGTAAGCTGAAGTTCAATCAAAGTGTGGGCAGGCTTTCATCAGTATTAGTTGACCATTTCCAGGTGTGTAGTTGTGATTGTGTCTGTGTGTTCAGGTTTTTATGATGTATATAGGTGTCCGTCATCATGTTTGTTTAAAGCTAAGAGGTCAGAGAAGGATCTCTGGCTGGGGGGTATTTTTTGAGGTATTCATGTCTTAAAGAAATAGATATTTTGGAAAAATGCTCATCTAATCTAAGAGTTCGACAAGAAGATTTGATACTACTCTCAATTCTGGCTGTAGGGTAAATATGTAGCTGGAGCTAGCAGCCTGTTAGCATAGCTTAGCACAAAGACTGGAAACAAGGGGAAACAGCTAGTCTGGCTCTGTCCAAAGGTAACAAAATAAATCCACCTAGCAGTCCCTTTATAGCAAACAAGCCGGAGTGTAAAGCAGGAAGTCACTGCGCTCGGCCCAGAGAAATCCCCCCTTTGTCCGTATTAAACAAACAAAGATACAGCTTATTAGATTTTGAGCTTTAGAGGCGCTAGTAGGCAGATAAATATGAGGAATGAGTCCTAAAACCTTCCGGTTCCAGTGTCTCAAAGTCAATGTTGTTGTTTTTTCAATGGCAAAGTCATACGACAAACGTTTTACTTTGCATTTATGCTTGAAAAATCATAAAAGTGGTGTTCATCTGTGAAGGTTATGCTGAACAAAACGTGTAAGTAGTGCTTATTTTCTGCAATAATTCAAAATCCCATTGGTTTTTTGTGGAGGGGAACCAATGCGAAGCCAATTTCTGGGTTTGGCCTACAAAAATACATAAAGCCTGCAGCACTCTATTGTTACCTTTTAGGCAGAGCTGGCTGTTTCCAGTCTATATGCTCGATAGCTTAATATTAAACAGACAGATATGATATACAATTCTTCTCAAAATGTCAAATGATTCCTTCAAGAAGGGCAGATGAGCTACTTCCCTGCAACACTGAGATGTTTTTCCACCTCAGATTCTTGCGAGTAGGACAAATCAACACAGGTTGCATAACGGCCCACAGCTAAGAAGTTACTACACGAGTTGGTTAGTCATCATGCTGTTTGATTTCGAACAGATTTAGGCGTTGTTTCGCTTTACGACACCGTCCTTGTCAGTCTGTAAACGGGTAGTTTTAACTTTAAACACTGCATATTCAATTTTTGGAGTTTTCTTTGTGGATGAAGAGTATACAAGGCTCCGCACTGTCACCATTTTTCTTTATGAATCACTCAAGCCCTCACTTGCAATCATAGTCAGGAAGGAATGTAATTAGCAGATCTCAGAATCAAATGATGTGAGTCATGGACACCACATGGCACAAGATCACAGCATGAATGTGAATCGTAGCATGACTGTAGTACTATGATGAAGCAAGTCACAGAACAGGGTGTACTCTTTTGTTGAAGAGAAAAACAGCACCTTATTATGTGAAACAGATTTTACTCTTCCTTGTTTCTAATTTGTCTACTTCAGGGTTGAAGATTGCAACCAGTTTAAGGACCCCTAACGCTTCACGACTCATTTCAAATCTTAATTAAACTTTTCTTTCCGTTGTCCGTCTAAAGATTGATGATATGATGCTGCCGACCCACTCGTGAGAATGTATGAGGTGATGTCCGGTGACACCCTGTCCTGGAAGGTGGCCAGTCCAAGACAAAGCGTCACGAGCAGCCCCGAATCGCAATCCACTGGAGACGGAGGGCCAGTCAAGATCCTCAAAGTGTGCTTCTCCACCAACAACAACGTGGGCAAGAACTTCAAGCTGGTTAAATGTGACAGCTCCTGGCAAATTAGGGTGAGAGTAATCCCAAAAAAAAACCATGGGGAAGGGAGGTAACGTGTCAGAAGACTGTGATGAAGATGGGAATGGTGTTTATCTGAGATACTTTAGATTACAAATGTAAGATGGAAGGTGGTGTTTTGTATTTGAGCCAGATACCTGTTTTGATTAGCCCTTCCTTTATCAGTGTGCAAATAATCTTATCTTCTTTCCGTGTACAACAACAGGCAAAAATCGAATTTTTTTACTTTTACAGCTAATTTGTTCGCCCTTGCATGAAAAGATAAAGAAAGTATCAACCACATAGTGCAATAAGAAGAAAGGATCACTAGAAATTCATGATATTTAAAAAAAATATCCTCATTCGGTCTCCTTCAGGCTATCATTCGGTCGATTCTGATCTGTGGTCGATTGGGGCCGAACATCAAACACGCAGCATGCTACGGTCTCCTGCTGAAGCACCTGAAGTCAGAAGAACTTCACTGGCTGCATCCAGATATGACTGTTGGGGAGGTGGAGCAACGCTACGAGAGCCAACACGTGGAAGCTGAGTGGAGGTACAGATTGATTCCCGGGACGTTATCTGTTCTGCAGTGTTTTGATTTCAAAGTTTGGCTTTTGATAAACTTGCACGGTGTTTTCTTTTTTCCCAATGCAGGTATGACCTTCGTATCAGATACGTTCCCGTCAATTTCTTGGAAAAATTCAAAGATGACAGATCTACGTTAGTGTTTTTTTACCAACAGGTAACAAGCTTCAGTGTGTTTTATTTGTAACGTGGTGTCAATAAGAGGTGATGTTTTCACACCGCATTGTAATGACGCTTTCCTTCACTGGTTTTGTGTTGATAAAGTTTGATTTTCGGTTGGTGGCACTCGGGTATACACAGATATATTGTATCTAACTAAAGAAGGTTATCAGTACACAGGAAAGCAGTCTGTCATCACCACCTTTCAGCATTAAGTAGTGTATGAAATACATGCTGTTGGCCAGTATTGTCAGTATAAAAACAGCCTGTGATGGGATGGGGGCAAAGAAAATTGAACCTTTGTGAATCTCTACTTTTCCACCATATTTAAATGATTTTTACAACAGTGTAATAGTCCGGTATTGTTGTAGTATTTGTTGGTATAACGGATTTCTCTTTGATTTTGCTCCAGGTGCGTAGTGATTACATGCAGTATCATGCCTCTAAGGTCAGTGAGGGGATGGCGCTGCAGCTCGGTTGTTTGGAGATCAGGTGAGTCACGGAAGTTCTCTCATTCTTTGGCTCTCAAAACTTCTGTTTTATTAAATGAGGTGATAACACCGATTTGATGGCATTGGTTAAAGTTTTATTTTACAACTTGTCCATGTGTTACACAGCATGTACCGTGTAGGGTTTCATGTTAGTGATTTTGGGTTAATGATAGATGAAGTCCAGATTATGAGTAGGTCATAAAGTAACTTGTGGTTTAGGATGATGAACATTTGGTTGTGTAGAATGTATTAGTGGCTGAGATATGTTTTCTTGTTTCAGGAGGTTCTACAAAGACATGAATGCAAAAGGTCTGGAGAAGAAGTCCAACTTTGAGCTGCTAGAGTAAGTTTTATTCATTTCATAACTTATTACTCTGCATGGATTGACAGTGAGCCTTGAATTCATGAAACCCTTTTAAAGCCCCACTGGATAATGTTGCACACACCTTGTAGCAGCTTGACTACCGTTTTTTTTATTTATTCAAAGAGGACATTAAGAACATGCTGTATTAATCTGGTAGCAATATATATATATTTTCAAATTTTTATTCTTACTATTTTTCTGAATTTTCCTTTACAAATGAAGAAAAGAGGTGGGCCTGGACCTCTTCTTTCCTCAACAGCTGATTAACAGCATGAAGGTGAACTATCCTTACTACAAAACCACGAATGTATTTTCTGTATTTACTACTGGGTGCCCAATCAGACCTTTATCAGAGTCTACATATAAGAATATCTTTTAAATGTCCCTGCTTGTGATCCAGTCAAGGCACCTACGGAAGTTGATCCAGCAAACGTTTCAACAGTACTCAACACTCAAGGAGGAGGACTGCATGAACAAGTTTTTCGAGAAGCTCAAAGAGGTCAGCAGCTACGATGAAGAGGTTTTCCCATGTGAACTAGTGGTGAGTAGCCCCCTACATCTTGTGGTAGTCTTGGTGCTATCCTAATCTGCTCTTGTTTACATTAATATTACAAACTTTTAACCACACTCACTTGTCAACAGCAAGGTTGGAGTCTAGCAGTGGAGCTGGTCATCGGTGGGAGGGGGATTCGCCAACGCACACAGAAGAATTCAGCGGTAAGCACCGTGAAGATGTAGGTATTCTATATCATATATTACATTGGTTTGTGTTGTATATCAAATCTATCTAGCTTAGCAGCAGCATTTTCTCGGCTCCACGCCGGCTCCATGGCCCGGAGGCATTATCTTTTTCGGGTTGTCCGTCCATCCGTCCGGTCCATTCTCGTGATTGCATTATCTCAGGGGCGGCTTGATAGAATTCCTTCAAATTTGGCACGACCGTCCTCTTGCACTCAAGCATGAACTGATTCCATCAAAGGTTGCAAAACCTCACACAACAGTCTTTTGGGCCATAACATAAGAATTCATGCGCTAATTAGGAAACGGGGGGAAACAGCAAGCCTTGCTCTGTCCAAAGGAAACAAAATCCACTTACCAGCACCTCTATAGCTCACTAATGACTAATAACTGGCTGCTCTGAAAGTTGTATAAATGAATTAGTGGTTGTAGAATTAATTTATTCCTGCTGGATTTTTCAAGTCTAGACATAAGAAACTTGTCTCTTTCCATCAGTGGACGCTACGCCACTATAGTGTATCTAACACGGCTTGTAAAATTGAATCAGTCCCACCATAATTTAACTTATTGCATTCCTCTCTTTCGTGCCTCAGCCGGTTTTTCTAGCCGACTTCAAACAGATCAAGAAAATACAATGCTTATCTCAGAGCGATGGGAAGGCTCTCTTAGACCTCAACGTAGAGGGAGCCAGACAAGTGAGTACCACAACACTACCTATTATATATTATTACTTTTGTACAGTGTTAAGATACAGAATAGCTATTCTAATTAAATACATTTACTGTTGAAAGAGTCTGCACAGGATATTTGACCCGCGCTTACGTTGCCCTTTCGTCTCGTTTCTGATAGCGGCTGTCGATCAATGTGGCCACAGTCCCTATGGCAGAGAACATGATGGACCTTATTGATGGCTACTGCCGCTTGGAAAATGACACGGATGAAACTGTTATCTACCGACCAAATAAAGGTGTGTACGACTCAGACACCTCCCCTGTTGCAACATCACCGTGGTTGAAGCAATACATATTATGTTGTTTTTAACTATGGAGCATCGTTTTATGCCTTAGAAGCGTTCTGAAAAACTTGTATTGTATCATATAAACTTAATTGGAATTATCATAACTCATTTCTGTCCTAGATGCCAATGTGCAGAGTGCCCTACCTGAGATTCCCACAGAGTGAGTGGATGTTGGCTGTTTTAAACCTTTGGATGATTTGTGCCGTCTCTCGGCCTCAGTGTAGCTGCAGAGTTCAAGCTGTAGTAATTCCTTTTGGTTGTAATAAGAAGTGAAAAGTTAAGAGTTATTGATGAGAAAGGCTGTTTTATTGAATCATTCTGTCAGCGCTCTGAGGAGCAATAAGTTGAAACTTTACGAGCGGGGCTTTCTCTCATTCTGTGTTTTCTCTGGAGCAGAAGAGACACCAGCTCGACCAGACACAGTATGGGTGAGCTGACAGTTTTCATAATTTTACATAACCTCTATGTACAATGCAATACATAGCACCTCCGTTATATCATTATCTTACGCAAACAAGTAGATGCATATTGATCTTTCTGTTGTGTTTTCAGGGTCGGATATCTATTGTGAGATTCTCGATGAAAGGCCGAGATCAGGTCCGTTCAAAGTTTGTATTTATGTTTTTTGCAGAATGATTAGTGTGTGAACTGACTTTTGAACTTCAATACATTTAAATCTCTTTCTGTAGTTGTTAAGTACGGGATTGACCGAAGTGACATTGTTCTGGGCCGAATCCTTGGTTCGGGTTTTTTTGGGGAAGTCTACGATGGAGTTTACAAAAAAGATGTAAGTGCATCTCCTTAGTTGAATTATATCAAAATAACAGCATAAAAGGATAAAAAAAACTATATAACTGTCTATAAACTAACAACAGACATTAATGATGGGAAGTTTGTTGGAGAAATATAAAGTAATAAAATATTTGTGTTTGAGTCACAACCGCTGCATAAAATATGTGATTATAGAATATAAAACCTTATTAACTGCGTGTTGACTGGCATTACATTTGTAGTAGGGCTGCAACTAACAATTATTTTAATTATCGGTTAATCTGAAACTGCCTATCACAATGATCTAAATCCTAAATTAAGATCTTGATCTTGAGAAGTCCAAAACCTCAAAGAATACCAGTTAGCTGTCACATATGTCTTCTTCCATTGTTGATTTTAACAGAGTGGCGAGAGGGTTAATGTGGCAGTGAAGACCTGCAAAGACTGTTCACCTGATGTGATGGAGAAGTTCATGAGTGAAGCAGGTAATTAGAAAAGAAATTGTAGATTATAAGGAATTAAATGTGATAACAATAACTACGACAGTTACTTTGTGAACTTTGTTGTGTTTGCCAGTAATTATGAAGAACCTCAATCATCAGCACATCGTCAAACTGATCGGAATCATAGAGGACGATCCTGTGTGGATAGTCATGGAGCTTTATCAGCATGGAGAGGTTAGTGTGAGAATCTGAATTTTAATGCAGTCGCGCTGTATAACTGAACTGAAATCTTGGACAGTTCTGGCTCGAGTCGTAGCGTTGCAGCTAGATTCCTGCATCTCACCGTGACAGAAAGAAGAAGTGTGACAAATGCTCTGCCTTTGAGTATAAGTGAATTCCTGACTTCCTCAATTGTTGACGTTGCAGCTTGGGAACTACCTATCGGAGAACCAGAATACGATGACAAATATAACTCTGGTGCTGTACAGCCTGCAGATCTGCAAGGCTCTCGTCTACCTCGAAGGGGTCAACATGGTACACAGGTGAGAGGCTCCTTTTATTGTCATCCAGGAAGTGGAGATATACGGCTGTTGTCTTTTGTTTGTTGCTAACATTGCTAACACGAAACATACAGTGTGTAACTTGAAAAAACGATCAATTTGTCAAATCAACTGACAAATCTTCTGTAAAGTGATGGACCCATATTGTAATATATGCATATAAACCCGGGTCCCCTAAAACTTTATGCAGAAAACCAAGGCCTCATGTTAAGAGAGTAACGATGATGTTGACAAAGTTGTCACTTCGAAGTCACGGTGACCAGCTAATCCACACTGAAAGTGATAATGTCTGTGCTGAAACTCTCGTAATTTTCTCAGGCAGGAGTGTATAATGAATGAGGTCCTTTGTTACTGTCACAGGAGAAGAGGCCCAACCTGTAATGTTCTCTGCCGATCATGCCGAGTCACAGCATCTTCTTAAAATTGTTATTTGCAGCACAGTGTTGATTCACAGGGATGCTGAGGGAAAAAGGCAAGTTGACGGTCCCATCGATAGATATAGTTAGTGAAAAAACAACAACAACCTAAAACAGCATCTAAATGTAAATATAAGGTAATGACAAAGGAACGTGACATATTTATACTAAGACACACCTTTACAGAAAGTTGACAGAAAAGCATGTTTCAGCGGAATGTTATCAACGAGCTTTCAGGCAGCAAAGCAGCCACTCTGGATTCAATCTCCTGTGAAGAAAAACACAGACAAAGGAAATTACTTCCTGGGTGGAAAATGCAGAGATTCCTTTTGTATTACTTTCTGCTGCAGTTGAGGCAGTATGGCATAGTTGTCAAATTCAGGTCAACCAGAGAGGGGGGCCACAGACTTTGCTTCTATAATCTACATTTGTATCATCTCCATCTGTACATAAACCCTAACGTTTCTTTCTGTGTTATTCGTGTTTTGTCTCAGAGACATTGCTGTGCGGAACATCTTAGTCGCCAGTCCAGACTGTGTGAAGCTCGGAGACTTCGGTCTGTCGAGATACATTGAGGACGAAGAATACTACAAAGGTAAGAGATGCGTTTAGGATGCTGATTTAACTGTTGCACTTTCTATTCTTGGACACCTAATTGTTTAAATTGTAATACATAAAACACATATATACTGTATCCTTGCCAGAATAGACAGACTAGTAAAGATGGAACAGCAAATAATGTAGTTGCCACGTTTGGAAAATGCACTTTTTTTTATGTCCCTGTTCGAAAATTGTAAATTTTGACCACATAATAACGAGGTCTCCCATTTCTTTGCAGCATCTGTTACTCGGTTGCCAATCAAGTGGATGGCTCCAGAATCCATCAACTTCAGACGTTTCACCACCGCCAGTGATGTCTGGATGTTTGGTGAGCTTGTGATACTAAACATCTAAATAATAACTAAATAAAACACAACAGCTCAGGAAGCCAGCCTCACTCAAAAGGCACTGCATGGTTTTATAAGCTGGTAAAGATGACTTGAACTGATACAGAGACTCGTGTAGGCAAACAGGGATGATGGACTGAACAACCACTTTATAAACATTGTATATAGACCATGTACAGGGTTTCCTAATTACACAACTGAGTTATAAAGTTGCTGTATCATCTGTTACCAACTACATCTCTACCTGTCTTAACCAAATTAGCACCATCTTGTGGTCCACTTCATAGCCACTCTGTGATCTGGTGCATTTCACACCAATATCTATATATACATTTAAATGAAACTGTTCACAATCATAATCTTAGATCTAGCTCCTCATGTCTATTACTATTATTTAGATTTCAGACACAAAAATTGAAAATCTGCATATTTTGATTTATGATTTGTTCAAACACCCTCTTCTTCTTGAGAGCGGTAAAAAGCAAACAAGGCATAAGAACCTTAATGCCACTCTTTATTCATATGCCCGTTGCAATAGTACTGCCTTATGTCCTCCCATAAAGCAAAGTATTTTCTTGAACATAGCAAAACTTTTTATCCTTTATGTTTTCAACACATAGAAAAAGTGAACCGCCATAAACAAGGTGACAATCTGAATATATTGCTTTTCAACCTGGAAGTACACATAGATTAAATGCCACACAGACTATAGATCTCAGATATTGTCTTATTGAAAAAGTTTATTTTATTAAATAAGTGTAATGCACTTTAAGAGTGATTCATTCTGTCTATTATCTTAGCGTTGATTCAGCACAATGCTGTTTGAAAAAAAGGTTATTATATAATTCTGTATGGTTAATAATAATATGCATGTAATAATATGGTATAATAATAAAAAGGTTAATATAGTCTGTGTGTGGTCCTCTGTTTATTCACCATCACAATTAAATTGAGGTTTCTTAATATAGTATTCATGGTAAAAAAGCTGTTACTTGCCTCGCCGTTGGCCCTTGTGACACCAACATGCTGCTCTCTTTCGTTCCCCTCTGAACAATGCGTCCCAGTAAGTGTGTGTCTAAGAGCCTTCTCTTTCTCTGTGTTTGCGCTGCTCCGTAGCTGTATGTATCTGGGAGATAATGAGTTGTGGACAGCAGCCGTTCTTCTGGCTCGAGAACAGAGACGTCATCAACCAACTGGAGCAGGGAATCAGGCTGCCCAAGCCAGACAACTGCCCTCCTGCCCTCTACTCACTCATGACCCGCTGCTGGTCCTACGATCCCAGAGAGAGACCCAGCTTCACCGAGCTGGTGGTGAAGATCAGGTACGGCTTTATTCAATATTTTAAAAAAAAAGCTCTAATTACTCTGTGGTTTCGTAGCCTTTGCAAAGATGAAAATTGTTTCCGCCTAACTGCAATAGCAGCCCATTAGATGTGTTTATGTTCCTCTCTTAAGACATCATATAAAGTAACTTGTTGTCCAAAATCTGTCAGTGATGTCCACAAGATGGAGGAGGAGCAGGAAGTGGAGAGAGAGAGGGACAGAACACGCTCCACCAAAATCTTCGACACCAAGTTCAACTTCAACGAACCTCCTCCCAAGGTACGGATCTCAGCCACTGTGATTTCACAAAAAAACTGCACATTATTCAAATGAAATGTTATAATTTAGTGCTTGTTTTTTTATACATATTTTGAATAATTCACTGTAGCCTTCAAGAATGAAACCAGGGCGGTTCGGGAACACGCTCAGTATTGGTCTACGCATTCAGGTACTGTAGCGCACCCAGGTGATCTCTAACCTGCAAGATGACGGACTTCTAAAATATATTCAGTGATTTGTGTATCTGTGCAGCTGAACGAGGCTCTGTGTGCCAGCTCACCCGACCTGGCCAGCCCATGTGAATACCAGTCCCCCGTCGACTCCATGCACACTATTGGGTTGCCAGCCATCAGGTCCCCTCGGCGTCGCAGCATAGGGGTAAGAAAGACTCTTGCCTGTGTGTCAATTTTCCTACATTTGAAGTCACGTGTTCTAACGTTGATGACGGTGGAGTTCATAATGAACGCATTATTAAGAGACCCCAAAAAAAGGCTTTGTGTGTTGTTGATCCATTATTCTCCTGTTGCTCCTCCACCGACTACAGGAGGGCGAGTTTTTCCGAGTGGAAGCAAACAGCAGGGAGGAAGCCACGCGCCTGTGGCAGAAGGAGAGACGGCACATGCAGAACACTCTCCGCCGGCAAAAAGAGCAGATGATGGAGGATGAAAAGTGGCTGGAGAAGGAGGAGAGACTCCTGGTGGGAAACAGAGCATCATTAACTTGTGTCAACCCCCTCTCTGTGTCTCTGTGTCCCCCCACTCTGTTGAATGTGGCCCTGGAGGCTATGTGGAACGAGGCATCGTTAAACAACACCAACCCACTTGTCCACTCTCGACGCCCTGCTAGCCTTAAATTGAATGTTCCCCTGATAACAGTTCCAAAGAGCGGGTCCATGACCATATTGTATAAAATTAACCTGCCTGTTCTTTTGCAGGACCCCATGGGACCAGAAGACGCTGCCGGCCCAGCGGTAGGTGCACTCTGATACAAACTGTGATTTTAGAGTCACTGTTACCAAATGCTTTCTGGCAATGTGTCTCACATTTCTGGGCCCAGTTTGTTTTCTTTGGCAACATATTCTTATTCCCATTAGTGAGCAAACAGTCAGCATGATGCCACACAACATGTAGTAGTTTGTGTAGTCTTCGTGATATTTCAAGCGGAGTGCAATGATGACAAAAACAGCCTAACAGTAGGCATTAATAGTAAATCTTAAAAAATATTTTTTTTATCCTCAAATACACATTACATGCACACTAATGTCTATTGCTGGGGTGGCAAAACTATGGCCTGCGGGCCAACTGTGGCCCGCCGATCATTTTTTGAAATGGTCCTAGATTATGGCTTGTGCATATTTCTAATAAATTGCAGTGTTTGTACATTACACATCCTAGTTTAAACACTAGGTGTCGACTAAATTTAGCGAAATGATCTCTGTCTCTTGGCCCAGAAACCAATAAATTACCATTTCTGTCTGTTCTGATTGTTACATCTGAAGATTAGATTTACAGAGTTACATTTGCATCGTTATCTTTTAAATGGGCATTATTGAAGGAATTTAAATTATACTCAAGGGTATATTTTTTGTAATATGTGAGCACACCAGTAAATGACTGTGATGTCAAACATTAAATAGTTTTGTAGTGTTGAAACATTTTCTAGTCCTCCTGAGATTCATCATTTTCTATTCTCTTTAGTCCCCTGAAGGTGACGCAGAACATTGTAAGTGCTTAAAAGACATTTACATTTCATTTTTGAGTCATTCTGGGCACTTTCATCTCTCTCTAAACCCTCCTGACTTTCATTTCTCTCATCGTTCTGCCATGCAGCACCTCCAGAGAAGCCCCCAAGGCTCACAGCACAGGTAATTTATATATTTTTAAATCTTTTTTAGCCCACTGACAAGACTATTTAATTGTATTAGCTTTGATTTTTAGATAAAGAGAATTCATAATGACCGGTGGAGTCATTTCAAGTAAAATCACCCTTCAGTTGAAGGGAAATTGATGACACCATGCATTAAAATAGGGCCCAGTGATCCTTTGTGTTAGGAAACAGGATGAATATTTGTATCATTGAAACACATTATTCTCTCCTACTAAGCCTGCGCCCACAGCTGAGCTGGACCGCTCTGACGACAAGGTGTACCAATACGTCATGGACCTGGTCAAAGTTGTTGTCCAACTCAAGAACGACATCATAGAGGTGCCACCGGAAAAATACATCACCGTTGTCCAGGTACGCCGGGACACATTTCTGTTCTTCACTTCAGTTTTACAGTTTGTTGCTACATCATAAGCAAATTGAAGGTGTATGTCTTGTAATGGAAAACAAACTTGTTGAGTCATCCAGCTGATTCATGTCTTGCATTGATCTCTGCCCACAGTCTGTTGGGATGGCTTTACGAGATCTGATTCGCAGTGTGGATGACATACTGCCCACCTTACACGAGTCAGTCAGGACTGAGGTACAGTATATTTTCTGCAGCCTGTTTGCCATCTTTTCTCATCTCCTTCCTGTCTTTATGGATTTGTTTTTCTCCCAAGAAACAAAAAGTGACGGCACTCCTCTTCAAACACAAAGCAGCAAAGAGGAAATGAGCATTTTGTCTTGACTACTCTGCCTGAGGACACCCAAAAATCCATAGTTTTCACATTAGAGCAGTTTGAACAAAGCCATGTTTATTAATTTATCAAAAAGAGTACAGATATTTTTCATTTTACGAATTTCTTGCTTACTTGAAACAACAACGTGCGTAAAGGACCATATATGTGCAAAATGTATGGACAAAATAACAAGAACAGTTGACAGTATAATGCAGTTGAGTTGAATTAACACATCCCTGTAGGAATTTCAACCAAAACGTGCATAAGCTTCACAAAGGTAGGGCCCTATTTATTTGCATTACAAAATATTGTACAGGTGTGTTTATAGGCCTTTTATGCAGCAGGCATTTTGAATTGTCATAGTAGGAAAAGCACAGGTGTTATTAATGACATTAACGACGGCTCTGTTATATTCAATTGTCCCAATACACCAATACACCATGACAGTGAGCCAGCATGCACAATACCAGGACCCTGAAACTGGGATTCAGCAATCAGTCATTTTTATAATTTTCACCTCTGCTTTTCCAACTGTGACACATCCAAATCTCCTCCATGAAAAAGGCCAACAGTGCCATCTATTGTGTTTGTTTACCGTCCCCACAGATCGAGGGCACCCAGAAGCTGCTGAACAACGACATGGCGGAGCTGATCAGCAAAATGCGGCTGGCCCAGCAGAATTCCATCACCACTTTGAAGGAGGAGTGTAAGAAACAGATGCTGGCTGCAGCACACAATCTGGCTATGGACAGTAAGAACATGTTAGATGCTGTGGACCAAGCCAGAGTCAGGGCCAACTTAGCCAAGCCAGTGGCCCCCTAGTGGACTGTAAGCTCTCCCATTCAAGCTAACGATTCACATCTGTCAGTCGGAAATAACATTTGCACAAAATTGAGCATTTTTGTTGTGATCAAACTGCTTAAATTAAGGCTTTGTCAATCCTCATCATACCTGTAAATGTGTGTTGTTAAAGCAGGGGTGCTGAAGTTTTGTCTCCCCCTTCTGGCAATGAGAGTAACATACACAAACACTGTCAGCGCTGCGTATGATGCATGTCTGCAGGTGAACTTGCAGCATCTCCCACGGCTCCAGGAGTGTCTATCCTCAACATCGATGTTTTTTGTTTTTTTTTACTTAAATTCTTCCTCCACACTTTTTTTTTTATCTGGGGATTCACTACAGAAACTTGTCTTGGCCACTTCTTATGCTGCTTCTTATTCTCACCAAACGCGTCACGAATTCATCGCGCCGCATATTCGCGTCCATCGCGCCGCGCCATCGCAAATTCGCGCCGCTCCAGTCTCATGGCGTCTGTGCATAGACTTGGTATGTAATCTACTCGCGCGAATAATTCGCGACGCGTTTGGTGTGAACGCAGCATTAGGATTTCCAGCCATAATATCCGTCATACTCCTAACTAATGCCCTATCTTTACTCCATCTTTATAGTCACTCCCAACCCTTTTTTGCTCCCTTTGGCTGGTTGATGTGAAAACGCATCATCGGTGGGCCAGCGCGGGAAAGATCCCAAAGACACCACATCCAAAGTGTCCGGGTTTCCCTGGTTTAATCAACATAGAACGCTGCAGGTGTGATTCGTTTTTGTAGGCCAACCCCAGAACTTAGCATCTTGTTCACTCGACAAAAAAGCAATGGGATTTTTCCGTTGGAAAGGTTATGATACTTGCACGTTAGCTAACCTTAGGCTATGAATGGACTACACCACGGTCGCATGGACAACTTGGAAAAAAGTGTATGTGCTTATCAAGGTAGCATGCATACCAACAATGATGGTCGTTTGGCATCACATTTACGATGCCTTCATTTCAGACAAACTTCATTAAATGTTGACTGTTCTCATTTGTGATTGGTGATTAATTGACTTAATTATCTGCTCAGAAATTTCATTTTCCTTGTAAATGTAAAATGTGTCAAACACAATCGTTTTTTACAGCAGAGATAAACAAAACAATTGCAAAATAATGTGATCCTGACCCGAGTGAAATGTTAAGATGATTAAACCAAATAGTTTGAAAGCCATTCTACTGTTTAAAAGTGTTTTATATATACAGTAGATATCTCAAGTTTGACTATGACGCATTATATTAAAATTATAAGATGAAGACGAGAACAATTTGGATAATTGTCAGAAAAGTGACAGGCACTCTTGAGAGAAGAAAGCTTTTTGTATAATGTCCATTACTAGCACGTAAATCAAGTGATATAAAAATAAATGATGTATACTACTGTACATGCCTGTTCATTGAAACACATGTCTTGCTGAATATTTAAATCTAGATTTTCTATGTTTAGGAAGGACAACTCTTAGGTCATTTTCACCACACTCAATAAACGCTACATAGAAGAGTTTTCAAAGGTTTCAAGAGGGTATTTATTACACAGTATGGTCATTCAAAAATAATTGTAATCATGGCGGCGTGAGAAAGAAAACAGGTAAAAAAATGGGAAATTCTCCCCAAAGCACAACAAATTACCCCAGTTAGTGTGTCTAGTCCAGTATATGCCAATGTTGGTCTAAACCAAAGAAAGGTGGAATGAGGTTTCTCACTCAGAGTTTTTCAATTAGTCACACACCTAGCATCTCATTGTGGCGGGCTGCTCTCAGCCAGCTATTGGAGCTGTTTAGCTACAGTCCATAGATCACTACATTTACAACTAGAATTCTTCAAACAACAGAGAAAAGTAATCACATTACTGTAACACTTTATCCAGCACTGACTCTGGCTCCATGCTACTTTAGCTAGCATGTGACGCTAACTGACATGCTGAAAGAGACGATATACTAAACACTGGCACGTTAACATATTAACAAGAGTATGCATGTTGACATGCTAATGTTAGCATTTAGGTCAAACTCAACCAAAGTAACATTACAGGTGAGGTCAACAAAGTGCAGCTTAGATGGATGGAAGTTGATCCAAGTGGCAAGCTGAGTCTGAGATCCCCTAAAATGGACACTGTACAGAGGACAGACCCTTTTGATGTAACGCTAGTTATAAGGATCTAAAAGTAGCACACACAAAAAACCCGCTAACGCAGCAAATTACATACATTTTTTCACATTCCGAGTCTTGAAGGAGAGTTCAGCTACATTTTGAATGTCGAACTTCACTAACTAGTGGTGGTTATGGATTTTCTCACACCTTCTCCCATGAGCTAGATCATGCCAGCTAGCCAAGGGGGTAGGAAGAGGCCAATGGTCCCAAGCAGGCACACAATAATGAACATCCACAGGAAGATGCGGTCAATCACCATTGCGACATACTTCCAATCCTCTTTCACCTGTGTGGAATTACGAGCGGCAGAAAGAGACAGAGAGAAATAAGAGAAGACAAGAAATGAAAAAGTTGTAGTCCATAGTTTGTAAGCAAACATCTAACAGTTACGGATATTTGGAGTCGTGTTTATGGCCACCTGGGTAATGTCAGTCGATTATTCACTCTCTTTTAGATATCAAAAACAATCTTAGTGCTGTAACAAAGTGCATCTTTGGCACACAGTACATTGAAACATTATCCATGTATGGTAAGGATGTTTTTGCTGCAACAGAGAGATATAAAGGACAGGTGCCTTTTTAAGTGTGATATTAGAAGAAGTGGTATTTCATTGATACTCACGCTGAAGTCGGCATCCTCAGCCCTCAGATGGTCTGCAATGTAGTGCACCCCTTCCAGAGCGCGTATAACACTTGGTGAAAGCAGGAATGATGAGTCTGATACTGTGTTATCAGCTTTAGTGGGCCTCTGAGTGGGATTGGTTCTGGCCCCTATTGAAAGTCTGTTTGTCCCTGCAGGCCCTTCCTGTTGGTTCTGGCTGTTCTGTGGGTTTTTCTGTTGCGGTGGAGGGGTCGCCCCTGGAGGTCTGGGCGAAGGAGGGCGAAAGGAGAAGTACGACGTTAGCGTTCCCAGCTCTAAATCCTCATAAGAGCTCCTGTCTGGGTCCTCTGACGTGGTCCCATCTCTTAACCAGGTCGCCGAGGTGCTGAGGCAGTTGCTGGATTTTAACCCGGTTAGCCGTCCCTGCCGGCGCACCAGCGCCGCTTCCTGCTGCATCAGCAACAGCCTGCGACGCCGGCCATTTGGCGCAGGCCGCCGCATGAACAGCCAGCGTGGGATCAGGTTCAAGAACACGGTGTGGACCCAGCGGGGCATCTTGTGAGTGCTGGGGGAGCGATGGTGCACGTTGAGCACGAAGACCGTGATGACGATGGAGAGGGTGACGAAGATCATCGTGAAGAGGAGGTACTCGCCGATGAGCGGGATGACGAGGGACGTGGACGGTATGATCTCGGTGATTAGGAGAAGGAAAACGGTGAGGGACAGCAGCACGGAGATGCACAGGGTGATCTTCTCACCGCAGTCCGAGGGTAGATAGAAAACCAGAACCGTGAGGCAGGAGATCAGCAAACAGGGGATGATGAGGTTGATGGTGTAAAACAAGGGAAGCCTTCGAATGATGAAGAAGTAGGTGATGTCCGGGTAGATCTCATGGCAGCAGTCGTATTTCTTCGTATTGTATGTCCCCACGGCGTTGATGATGGCCCATTCGCCACTCTCCCAGTAGTTGTTCAGGTCCACCGTGTTTTCCGTTCGCTCCAGGTCGATCTTGGCCTTGTCGTACGTCCAGGAGCCAAATTTCATTTTACAGTTCTGTTGATCGAAGGGGAAGAAGGTGACGTCGATGCTGCAGGAGCTCTTGTAAATGGCAGGAGGGACCCAGCGGACTTTACCAGTGTGGAATAGGTGAGCTTTCGTCATATGGGTCACGGCAAACTCTCCATCAGCGCTGGAGAAAGCAGAGACCTCAATTTTTAAATATCTGGGAACTAAGGCTGAAATAGTAGATAAACCTGCTTCCAACTACCCCTTGTGCTGAGAAAAGGATCTTTTCTCACTTTAGAAACTATGCAGTGTAAAAGTATTGATCCCCCAATAATAATAATAGTCTCCAGTAATCTCCCCTCCATTCATCGCTTTAATGGTGATAACAGCTTCTGCTGAAAACGTTATGATGAGTCGTTATCATACCATCAGTTTCACACCTTTTTTTTAAAAATTTAATTTACAGATTGTGATCCCGCCGGCTCGATGGAGCAGAACTCCATCATCAACGCGCTCGGTTTAATCTCCTTGAGGTGGAATTAGGAGAAGGGAGAGCTTTCTCAAAATCTATTTCACACTGTAGCAATTACACCTATGAAGGTTGACGGCATCAACACGCATGAGCAGCGATGCACAATAGAAATGCAGTTAATATAAATGTTCAATATAAATTGTAACAGGAACAACTGTTCGAGCTATATCATAATTTGACTTAAAGCTGTTTTCCAAAGTGAAGGTGTTGAAATATTACCAGAGGAGCAGAATGTTTTATTATCACTAGATGGCGCCATTTTCATACCATACGACATCCAGTAAAGAGGCATCAGTTTGAACCAATATATCATTTTGAGTGTCGCTGTTACTCTGTATCAGCGTCCACTGTTGCATGTCATGAAAAGTGGCTGGCGTGACCTGATGATGAAACCAATTAAATAACGTGCTTATGTGGAGTAGAGCGGCATAGATTTGTCAATTTACCGCTAAGCTGATTGACAGAAAATTAATCAGCAACTATTTGAGTAATCAATTTATCATTTAAGCAACATAAATGCAAGAAGTTAAAAGGTTAAGCTGCTCCGTTGTGGATATCTTATGGATTTCTTTATCCTTTATGACAGTAAACTCTGGGTTTAATAACAAGTCATCTTCCACTCTGGGAGATTGTGATTGCCATTGATTACGGTTTTCCCACAATTAATCTGTTAATTAAGAGAATAATCGACAGATTAAACAATAATAAAAATAACTTGATAATAATTGCAGGCCTAATGGTGAGGTTATTTGTTACCGTCATGTTAGTCTCTTATCACACTTACTTGTTGTAGAGGACAATGTCTGGGACCCATATGAGCTCTGATGGGACTCTTATGGACGTCACGTTGTCATAGTCAGATGGGTTCCAGCGAAGTTTGTAGTCATTCCACTCCTGAGAGACACAAACAACATGTTCTGAAGCAGGCTATGATCCTTGATTGTCATTCAATTCCTCATAAATGTTGTCAAATGTCAGATGTAGGTTTTCATATTCTTAACATTTTAAATCACCAGATCCCCTCTGAGGAAAAAAAGAAAATCTTAATAATGAATCAATACTGACACATTTTTCTGACCTGTTTAAGCCACACGTTGGTTGTCATCATTTGGTTCTTCTCATCCTAGCAGGCAGGCAGGCAGGCAGGCAGACAGACAGACAGACAGACACAGTAGAGACTGAGTTACGTCTGTCAACTAAGGCCAGAGGAATATATGAGAGAAAGGTTCTTGGAGGTTTGTCAAAGGAGACCCAAATATAGCTTGCAGCATCTTTACTTCAATAACTTGATGGATGTGAAGTGTTCTGTAACAGTTTTTCTCTGGCAGGGCAGACGGTGCATAAAGTTTGTTTTTGCTGCTGTATTTTAAAATGCCAAAGAGTCCATACTGTTGGAAAAACCACATAAAACGGAGTAAGGTCGGTTAAAGTTGCAGTGCTCCCTAATATAGGGAATATTAAACACACAAATTAAAGCTCTAGGGATACATTACTGCACTTACACTGCACTGGATGTATACAAATCTGCAACTTGAGTAAAACAAACTCATTTTATTCCAACGAGAATAAAATCTTTGGTTCACATTAAAAGCAGCTTGCACGTCACCAAATATAGCTTGTGTTTAAATATCGCCTCCATGATTGTTTTCCTGCACTGTACGAATTGGACAGACGCATGTGACGACTCACCACATCAATGAGCTGTGCGATGGACAGTCCAAACTTGACAATGACGACGTCAGAGATGTTCGGCACGGGTCTCGACCACTTGTTGTAAACGGCAAACAACTTCTTGAAGAGCTCATCCTCGGCGTGCGAGTAGGTCTTCTCGTGACAAAGAACTGCGGATACATTCTTTCTTGTAATTAAAAAAAATCTTTATCAAACAAACATTTATTGAGGACAGATATAATATGGGTGTATTTATACAACACTGCACTATTCCAGATAAAATTTCACACACCTTTTTTTTTTATATGCACTTACTATTCTACATTTAAATAAACTAATCTGAAGCTGTTAAATCGAACCGCTGTTAGTGCAATTATCCTTTACAAATGTTGACATCAAGGTCATTTTGACAGTAATAATATGTGACATGTTTTGTTCAGCAGTTAATATTTGATGGTATGATAATAAATGCATGTAAAGTGACTACTGAGGGAGACCAAAGGAGTAAATTGCACAGTATATAGAGATCATATCCATGTTCTCTCATCCGCGTCTCCTCTAATCCTCACGTAACAAACTGCAGTGGATCAGGCTGGCATGATATCGTGGATTTTGGGAGTGAAGGTGAGAGTGTTGAACATCTCGTGTTTCGGGCGCAGAAGTCTCCACTAAACATCCCAGACCTTTCTTGGTAAAGTCTTATCGACTTTCCCACATCTTAGCAAATCTTCTGATCTCTTGATCTGAGCTCCCCATGCGAGTCGTCTGCTAAAAAAAAAACCTCTTGAGGTGAGCAGGTGGAGACTGGGGAAGTTTGTCCGTCGGCAGCAACACCGTTTCAGCTGCAACCTCTCTTTTTATCCCTCAAATGTTGTTAATATGTACGTGTTGCTTCACAATGAGGGGTGGCTTAATCAAATTGATTGGGAATATGCAGTCTAGACAGATTTGTGTACAAACTCAAACTGAGTCACTGTATTATTTTTCTGCAGAATGAATAGCAGGGAAATAGACAGTAAATCCCTCCTCTTGGGGATTACAGCTTCCACCTTCATCAATGTAGTCAATTACACACATCATTGCTTGCTTGTGTTAAGTGGAGGTGGGCTAATTTCTCACCAGTGAAGGGTGTTTATTGTCGAGCTGTCTGCCACTCTGTGTTACAGCTGATGCATGAAACAATTAACTCTGTTTTCACTTGAGGCAGAGGGCGATAATATGTTTACATTTGTGTATTCCCTTATCGCTACTGGATTTTAAAAAAAACAACATATATCCTCTGAGGCAAATTTGTGATTTGGGGCTATACAAAAATAAATTGAATTGAATAAAATATAAATATGAACTGAGAAAGAAATGTTTGATTAGCATCCCTTAAATTTGTTTTTCTAAATAATTGCAACCAAAATACGTACTGAGTGGGACATAACTTTAAAAAAATTTAATTTAATTTAAAGCTACTTCAAGGAACTTTAATTTTGCGTTGAATTTGTCAGTCCCTGTGGAAAAAAGTGATAATATTTCTGCGCACCAGAGTCCCTTTAGACTAATTTTACTCCAGCAGGGTCTGACAGTCTGCTCCTGCTCCGTCCTGGTTCTGGTTCCCTTCTAGCCTGCTGGCTGGAGGTGGAGCCGCCGGGGCGCAGAGTTCTCCACCTCCTGCTGGAGCTTCCAACTGCAGGTTGCAGGTGGCTGCGAAGCCGGATCTGGGTCCCTCTGCGGCGGGATGGTTACTGCTGGAGTCTGAGCTGAAGGACTCTCTGGTGAACCTACAGGATTTCATCTGATTTCGCGCAGAATCCGGCCGCGTGGCACCGATGACAAACATTAAGAAATAGCCAATCTTCTTGCTGATATGAAGGTCATATAGAGGCATCAGTATTTAATTAAGACTGTTTCATAACCAGTTAAAAATTCCTCAAAGTAACTTTAAATAAACCATGTAATGGCACCACCGTTTATAAACAACCCCAATTGGCTTTACTGTAATGGAATTTCTAGTCACCTATAGACTGACTCATGACACCACTGATTACTGCAATAAGCCATAGTGTGTAATCAAATTATACTCATTGTTTAATGTACAGACAGAGAATGTATCTTATCTCTCTTATCCAATATCTCATGGCAGCTTCTCTCTAGAGATGTATGTAAGGAAAGTTGAAGTAAAGCATCTTGCCTCAATAATCAATATTTAACAAAAAAAAGAAAATCAATAGAGACGCCATTGGGTTTAGATGCCATAAACACCCACTCCCTCTGGATCTCCGTTTTGACAGCGTGAGGATGTAATGCAACCTCAATGAGGTGTGCTTCCATCAAAGATCCTAAAACGAGACCTTGAGCCACCTGCATCTGGCAGCAGTCACGGTTGCTTAGCAAAGGCCACATCATCGCCTGGCCATCGGTGAGTTGTGGTTCTGACGACCGCAGTATTTACAACTCTTTAGTGTGGGATATGCCAGTGGAGGATAACCAGGTGAGGGGCTTAAATGTTGCATGGACGTGACGGATACATGCAAATCTGTTGATGTGATTTATTTTCCATGCTAATTCCTTAGCCCGAGGGTCTTTAACAGAGAAAGCCTGGACAAATATGCAGATGAAGTCTATGTAACACAGCAGTCTTACACATGTGATCTGTGGATACCATGTGAAGTGACAATTTAGAAAACATATAATTGTTTGTAGAAAAAAAATAAGGAGAAAGAAAGAAAAAGGAGGCATTAGACATGTATGAATTCAGAATTAATTTGCCCATGGTGCACTTGGGCTCATCCCCTGCCATCATGGACTAATTTGATTCTGGCAAACAAGCATGCACCAGAGCCTTCTTATCTGCTCTCTTGACAGTCAGGGCGGCACATGTTCATCTGTCCGTGCATCTGGGGAAGGACCAGATGTGGGACTTGACAAAAGAAAGGCTCTTGGGCGCCAAAGATCAAAGGCTCCTCCTGCTGGCAGAGACTTGAAATGAGACGACACCTCCGACATCCAGCACATTGGGCCGTGCATTTTGTACCGTGGCCAACCCCCTTGGCGAGGTGTATGAAAACACTGACCAGTTTAGATGATAAGAGTCAGCAGCTTCTCAAGCCAGAGGCGCTCTCGTGAAATTGGGCTGTCAAATATTTAAGAGTAAAAAGATCACTTAAAAAAGACAACATGCAAAAAAATGGCCGTTGTCTGAAATTGCAGGAAATTCAGAAAGCTGAACTCCGTCAGTGACATAATGAGATTGGCACGACATCAAGCACCTGCACGTGTGCTTGCTGGAGCATGTCAAGAGAGCAACGGTACATTTTAAACCCTCTCTCTCATACGCCACAAGAAGACACACGTTATCTTAGACCTCTAAGTGAACACTGGTTTGTCCATTTAACTCTTACTTGCATTCGAGTTGAAGGGGAACTCGTAAACGTCAATGTAGAAGCTCGGAATCAAATAAAGCTGCCCTGAGTTCTACTGTCAAGTTGGTGGCTTTAAAGTCAACCTGAAATAAACCATTTTACGACTGTTGATTATTTTCATGATTCAATTATTGTCGGTCAGTGTTACCCAAAGCCCAAGATGACGTCCTCAGATGTCTTCTTTTTGCCCACAACTCAAGAGATATTCAGTTTTCTGTCACAGAGGAATACAGGAACTAGAACATATTCACATTTAGGAAGCTGGAATCAGAGAATTCTTACTTTTTTTCTTGAAAAATGACTCAAACTGATGAACAAAATAGTTGTCTAATTGATACATCGTTGCAGCTCTAAACTAATACATTCTTAGATGCTATTTCCAACAAATATGTTCTCTTGAAAATTGTGCACAATGTATGGAGTATATTTACAGTAAGTATTAACTCTGGACTTCAACCCTGAAACCTGCTCCAAATTCTGACTATATGCATCTTTCTCTTATCCATTGCTGTTTTGATGAAACAAATCTGACCATTAACACCTACTGGAAATATGACTATTACTAAGCTTTTGTAGCATATTGTGTGGAAGATTTTCTCACACTTTTCTAAGGATTTGTACATTTTTTGTGACGCGCAGCTGCCTCTCTCTGACAACTTCTAAATGTACATGGGTAAGGATACCAAACTCTCAGATGGGAACAGAAAGAAGCTTGCTTCATTCATCTTGAGTATATAACACTAGCTCTGTGTTATATGTTTTATTAAAACTAAGAATAAGTGCAGTGGAAGTGAAAGGTGGATTGATTCCTATATGGCGATGATTTAAATGATATAAGAGAAAAGCATTGTGGGAGTTTTCGATGAAAGCAAGCGCGCAGGTGTTGAGACTGACAGGTGAGCTTACAATTAACTACTTTTAAGCCTCATAACTTTTTATTTATTCGACGTTTATCACTTACTATAGTGCAAATAAATGTTGTTTAGCACTCTGACAGAGAGTTAGCTTATCGCTGAGGTAAAATGTGGGTTTAAACGTTCCTCGGTGGCTCCTGTTATAGAAGTCACATTGAAGCCGCTGTACAACACACTTAAGAAAAGTGCTTACCTGACTGACTCAAAAGCAGCAAGTAGAGAACGGTCGTCCTCGCAGAGAACAGGTGGTCGTGTCCCATGTTGCACTCTGCTATTGAGAAGTCCCACTTCACCGGAGAGCACGGAGACCTTTCCGTCCGCTGTCAAAACGTTACCTTGAAACCGTGATTTGTGAGCGAAACCTGGCATCTTCGCAGCCGGGAGGCATATCAGGAGAACTTCACCCGGTACCCCTAGTAAAGCTGCGTTTACTTCTGTGGGCGGGGAGTGAGTATGACGATACTCTGACTGAATAACTTTCCCCTAAAGCTCCGCATCGATGTATGCGTCACTCCTCGCACTATAGCCTTGCCTAGACGGGATGAGAGCGAGTCATGCACCTCTTGTTTGCGCGCTCCGAAAGCCTGTCCACGCGCCTGAGTTGGTGAGCCATCCGGTGCTGAATCAGGGAGCGGCACCTGAACACCGTATCTTATCTCTGCTGTATTTGCAGATTAAAGTACCAGATCATAATACTGCCTAACTCAGATATCAAGTAATTCGTTGATGAAAAATAGTCCGGCTTTATTGCTGTGTATGTCTTATCCAAACAATTCCACCTTTTTACGCACGGTGCCAAGATTTTACGCGTCCTTGGTGCCCCGATTTAAGTATTCTATATCCATTAAAATTTTAATTAGCTCTTTTCCATGATTGGAAGCGTTGTTAGTGGCCACTCTGGTATCGGCTGGGTCCGTAAAACAGCATCATCCAGTGTGAGAAGACAGGACACGTCTGAGTACTTCGCGTCTTTCATCTGGTACCTACAACAGTCCCTCCTCCTTTCTCGCTCTTGCTCAATCGTGCACACACACACACACACACACACACACACACACACACACACACACAC